TGGATTGTCCATTTAGAGGAATTGCGACATGAATGTGAAACAGAAAAACGTTATTGTTTTCCTGATTTTGACAAACAGCGCAGAGACTGCCTTCTTGCTATTTTCTGATATTGCCCATAGCATATTTGTAGGGCGTTCCGTTCTTCTTATTCACAGTTGGCTATTTCCAAATGAGATGGTAGACCGCGCAGTGAAAAGTTTCGTCTTGTTTTTAGGGATCGGTACGGACGACAGCGCTCAGTTCTCTGATCAGGTTTGTAGGTGGAACGCGCTTCTACTTTGCAACTATCTTAATGACATAAGGAGCTGTCATTTCCTGAGTCTCGTTAGCCAACCGTTTTACGGTTTACAGCAGGCCTTCGCAGCTACCCTGACGATTCAGTAGTACATACTTTTCTGTACTTCGCCCTACAAGACGATCCCGCGGCTTTCATGGTTCTCTACGACGTTCGATGGAGATACCAAGACTATACGATTTAGGTCATGGCCTCTAGATAGTTAAAATGTTACTTCACTTTAGTTGTAACAGCGCAAATGGTTGAATGAACAAAACATGCTCTTACTGTGCATGAATGACACTACTTTTCAGTTACGTTACAAGCGTTCGTAGTCTAGGGCTGACGAGATTCAGTACACTGCAGTAAAGTAGGCACGTAACGACAGGACCAGGACAACTTCTTATGGGGAACGATTGCTGAGAACAAAAATTTCAACGAGTAGCACTGAGCCGTTCAGAACGATGTCGATCTGCCAATGCCGTTGAATCCCTATTTGCCGTGTTGATAACCTGCTGTGAGTATGGCCAAAAAAGAGAGATCACAATTGTTTCGAAACGTAAATTTTTTTAAGTTTATGTATGATAGGTGAACCCGTTTCAAACTCTCATATATGTTTAGTCATTAAGATTATGCTCATATTTTTATAATTGTAGCCATTTTTTTCAAATATGATTTACTTTCAGCCTCGTATTGATCTATAGTATGAGATAAACATATGCTGTTTGTGATCTGTTCAGTTGAATATTCTTCATTTACTCCGTTGTTAAACTTGAATAGTTTTTAGGTGAAACTCCCAAAATTCATTATTGAAAAGTCAATGAGTTTGAAGGACTCCTTGAAGCAGTTGGGATTAAATTCCATGTTTTCTTATGACACCGCTAACTTTTCAGACATCTCTGAAGCAAAGGGCTTGTTTGTGTCAGCTGTGGAACACAAGACATTTATCGAGGTACGGATGAAAGCTCACAAAAGATCTTACTTGTTCAAATTTTAGATTAACGAAGAAGGCAGTGAAGCTGCTTCAGCAACAGCCGTGGTAATGCGTTTTCGATGTTCCCCATCATCGATGAATCAAGAACTTTCTTTCTTCGCTGACCATCCATTCCTGTTCGCGGTTGTCGATAGTCGAACGATGAGCATGATGTTTCTCGGTCGTTATTCTGGTGCAGGACCTTCTGTGTCTGCATCGAAAATAGAGCTTTGATAGAGTGCAGTTGTCAATTTTGCATTATGTATAGTACAGGGATTCTAGTTTTCCATTGAAAAAATCATTTGTACTACATTAAAAGTTTTTGTTAACTGGGAATTGATTTTATATTAAGGAGAATTAAAACATTTATCAATTATAATTTTGTGCTGTTCCTAATTAGTCGAAGTAAACGTGTAATTCTTTCTTCATGAATTGTAAGTATTATTCAAAGAATTTAATTTAAAGCTATTGTTCCAATTGCAAGCTAAAAACAGTTTATGCTTCGAAACAAAAACGGGACTAAAATGTATGGAAGTTACCGAGGTTTAACAATCACAATGTAATTAAATAGACTGATAAAGTCAATCAGTTTCGATAGCCGCTTATTCTTCTTGGATGCAGCATAATCAGAAAGTGTCCCCACCATTCTCGATCCCATTTCAGCATGAGCTTCAGCCGAAGATAACTTGAGACTGGAGTAGAGTTGGTCGAGACCCCTGTTCAAGGTCATTCTTTGGGGACTTGTTGAACAACCAACAGCTGTTTCGCCTTACCTCTCGAAGCATTCACAACATGTGCCCAGATTACTGCGGCTGTGATTTCTTAGTCAGATTAGACAGCCGCTGTACTTAGGTCTGCTTAGATATCTGAGCGCCTGACCTCTAGTGATGTATGAGCCAAGCGATTCGTCTCAGGATGCCAATTTCCGCTTGTACGGGAAATCATAGTTGTTTCAGTCTTAACCCGCGACTTATGAGCATGAGGATGAAACTCAACTTGAACACAAATATCTTATCTTCAGACTCGGCTCCGCCGTAGTCTCAACGGTTCAAAAGTTCATGGAGAACATCGCTAGCCATCCCGAATCGCCGGTCGATCTCCATTTCACATCAACGGTAAACACAGCTCAGAGGTACATGAACTTAATCTGTTCCACTACTTCCCCGTTTAGCTGCGGAGCGCAGCGAGCACAAGAGCGAGAAAACACTTGGCATTTTGTTTTAGACACGTTCACATGCATACCGACCCCGTTGTAGTTTATTGTGTCTCTTTCCAAAAAGTGCTGGAGATCAGTCTAGTAGCTGCCAACAGAACAAGATCACCTGTAAACAGCAAGCGACATCTACTCCGATACCCTGTGACTGCGCCTGACTGTTCTGTACAACAGGAACTGGACTGGGGACCGAATATTCCTTTGGCAGAGATCAGTGCCAACGTTGAATGATTAGTCTTAGACGCAATTTAGTTTGACACAGCACTTTCTATCAAAATGCAGGAACTATATGACTTATAATAATTGACCATCAGTCTCATACTTCTGCAGGTATACCCTCTGCAGAACCTGATCGGAGATTTGCTTGAGGTTTGCGCAGCATGTTTAAACCGACCAAGCCTAACTCTCACGATTTCTTAAACTGGCTTTGGGCAAGGATCCGACCAGCAATGCTTCCGCCTGAATGCAAGCCATAACTTTTCTTCTGTGTCAGAGTCAGACATTCTCCTCAACTCATTTCAAATATCATTGCGTAGCCTTTTCCGCTAAGCTCGTTATGATGATGTGATATCTCGATAGTAGCAACACTCCGTGTGATCGCCTTTCTTGAACAGCGGTACTACAACTCCAATTATTGAGTCTACTGCTGTCTTCCGCATAGTCACTGCGGTACGACTGTTTGTTGATAGACACCTTTTAGCCATTACAGTTCTTGTTCGCCTAATGCTTTAAATAACTCAGAATGAATTTCATAGATTTAAGCAGCCTTGCCAATTTTCGTGCTTTTTATACATTCGGCAATTTCATCTAATGAATGACTAATAGCCGTACCTTTATTTTTTTCATGTGAGTCTCCCGGCGTTTACTCGGAGTTAAGAGATTGCTCCAAGTATTGTCTCCGCGTCTGAAGTATATCCTCTTTCTTGGTAAGAAGACGTCATAGCTTGTTTCACGACTCTTAGACTCTTTTCTGCGTTTCGGAGGTTGCAGATTGTCTGCCGGAATACATTGTCTGCCGTCTAGAAATTCGACTCCAACACCTACCGAACTTTCCGATATATCAGCTTTCTCCTTAACCACTGCTTTAGCTACTGCCTTACGCATCTTTTGTACCGCGTTCGAGTTGAATGCTGTTTGCTTCCATGCCACCTCTTCAATGCGACCTTCTTGCCGATAGCCAGATAAGTCTCAGGTGTCCACCAGCAA